TTTAAAAAATATATAATATAAAATTAGAGTGAAAGTGACCCACACTTTCTAATTTTTAAAATATAAAATTAAAATTATTGTCGGAGATCGAACTCATGATTAATACCACTTTATTTTTGAGAGGTGGTTCAACAGAGAAAAAAATGACACACATTCTATAAAACTCTTCTTTATCTCACCCAACAAAGTGAGGTATAACTATTTTTCCATCTAAATTAAAATTATTATTCATAATAATGGTGTTTTTTTTTAATATTTTAATAAATTAGTTTTACCAAAAGTTTCTAGATTACTTAAAAAGTATAATATTAAATAATTAAATATTAGTAAAATATAAAAAGATTTTTTTGGAAATTTTTTATTTAAAAAATATCTCTTTTCCATAAGTTGAAAAGAAAATTTGAGAAAAATACCTATCTTTCACCATGAATACTAACACCAACCGAGAGGAAAAATAACGCACACTTTTCAATTTTAAATATAAACAAATAATCCCTCCGGTCTCATTTATAAGAAAAAATTAACTTTTTATATACATTGAATAAGTAATGTATTTGGACAATATATTGTCCAAATACATTACTTATTTAATGTATCTAAAAAGTTAATTTTTTCTTATAAATGAGACAGGAGGGAGTATTAGGGAACCGAGAGGAAAAATAACACATATTTTTCAGTTTTGAATATAAACAAGTATTTGGGAAGAGTGTGAAATCCGTGATCATTATAACTTTTCTTTTTGAACCACAGTTCAACTGAGAAGAAAAGATATTTAAAATATTTTTTAAAATTATTTCTTTTCTTAATCAATTTTAGATTTTTTTTATTAAATGAAAAATCAGTCACAATTAATTGTGTGAATTTCTAATAGTTATAGTCACTTCAGTTATATATATATATATATATATATATATATATATATATATATATATATATATATATATATATATATATATATATATATATATATATATATATATATATATATATATATATATATATATATATATATATATATATATATATATATATATATATATATATATATATATATATATATATATATATATATATATATATATATATATATATAAATATAAAGATTAAAGTTAAAATTTGATGACATTTGATGTAAGATTAAAGTCTTATATTAAATGTCAACCGTTAACATGAATAAATCAAATGGTCATTTATTTTTTATAGAAATAGATAACTTTTTAAGAAAAAGAAATATCATATTTCTATTAATTTCTTTTATTTAATTTTATATGATAGTTTGATTCACTTTTATTATTTGTTGAGATTTAATATAAGATTTTTAAATTTATATATGATGTCAATGAATTATACTCATTTATATATATACTAGTAACAAACCCGTGCTATCGCACGGGTCTCGTCTGGATTCACATTACATTTATAGATTATTAAATTATTAAGTATGTTACCATGTTTTCAGTTGAGTATATGTCTCATGTAAACCATGTTGGCATTTAACTCCATATTTGTAGCAAGCGTCGGTCCTATCAACAAATCACGTCTGCATGAACAAATAGGAAAAATTATATACTTCTTAAAAAAAATAATGATATTTATGCTCTAAGATATCCGTGCTATCGCACGGGTCCCGTCTAGATTCACATTATACGTTGTCAAATCTCATTTGTCAAGTTTGAATATATTTTTTAGTTGATTAACATTCACATAGTTACAAATATAGACTAATAATATGCATCAACTTTTAAATTAAGAAATAAAAAGAACTCTTATATTAATATATTTGTCCAAAGGAGTATTAAATCTTTAATGTTAATTTGATTTTATTAAAAAGATTCTACAATTTAGTCAAAAATGAATTCTATACTGAATTAATATAAAACAGTAGCAAAAGAAAGATTTAAAAGATGAACATTAAAATGAACAGTTTACGGTTGATATTTATAGATACGTTCATATTTACCTGTGGATCTATGCTTGTAAAGTCTTTCATTAAGATGAACAATCTACGGCTATTAAATTGAGAAATAAAATGAGAAATAAAAAAGAAATCTTAGATTAATATATTTGACTAAGAGAGTATTAAGTCTTTATTGTTAAATTATATAATATAAGAATTGAATAAGAAACAATTAATAGAAGAAAACTATAGAGTTAGCAAAAATGTAATTTAAGTGTCATAATTTAGAATTAGTAAAAAATATTAATTATATATAAGAAAAAAATAGAATAATTTGAAATAGTATATTCTGAAAATAGCAATGAAAAGTCTTTAAAAACGACGTTTAGAAAACCGGTGCATTAGAAATTAATATGAAATTAACAACATTAAATAGTAAGAAACTCGTGCTATCATACGGTTACCGTCTGAATTTACATTATACGTCTCTCACTCTCATTTATCAAATTTGTATATATTTATTCAGTTAATTAACATTTATATAGTTACAAACATAGAAAGCGCATTGAACTCGTGTGTCTATTTATAAAAAAATATTTGTAATTTATTCCGATTTATAATAATAATTGAATAATAAATTGAATTTTTTTCGTTTATAAAAATATTTGTAACTTATTCTAGTTTAAAAAAATTATTGTAACTTATTTCCGTATATAAAAATATTTATATCAACATATAGACTTTTTCCCGTTTATAAGGGACTTTAACCCGTGTGATAATTTATAAAGTAAAATTTAATTTATTCATGTTAAAAATAATTGTTTTAATACTTCAATTTTTATCCTTTATAAAAATATTTGTAACTTATTCGCGTTTATAAAGTTATTCTAACTTTCTTTGCGTTTATAAACACATTGAACTCGTGTGTCCATTTATAAAAATATTTGTAAGTTATTCTCTTGTATAAAAATAATTGTAACTTATTCCGTTTATAGAAATAATTGTATCATTAAATTTTTACTTTTTATCATTAATTTTTTATGATTTCCATTTATCATTAAATTTTCATGAGTACCATTTAATATTTTTTATCATGATTACCATTGAAAAGATTCTCATAAATTTTAGTTATTTAATAAGTTTTAAAAAATTATAGAATTTCAATTGATTTTATTTTGTTTTATTAAACTTTTTATAAAAATCTAAATTATTTTAAAATATATCAATAGCATTCAAAGTTATATAGTTTTTTCTTAAAATACTTTTTGAATGCTATTTAAAATTATATCAATATTATATATTTTATTTTCATTAATTCAATTTAATTGAATTTCAATGAATCGATTAATCTTTTGAAAATGATCTAATTGAATTAATTGATCAATTAACTCTTTGTAAAGTTATCATACGTATAATAGTTTCTTTCAAAAGTATTTTCTTAAAAAATATTCAAAATAAAGTATTTTAAGAAATATTAATAAAAATGAGACAATTTTTATTAACATTTCTTAAAAATACATGCTTTTTAATAATATTTCATAAAAATACATGATTTTTAATATATTTTAGTAACAAATATTATTTAAACTATAATAATACTTACTTAAAATTTTAAACAAATCACAATTTTGCTAATATTTTTTAATAAATTTGTTTTAAAATGATAGAAAATTTTATCGATTTTAATGATTCACTTTATATATTTAATTTCAAGTTAATCATTACTCATTTTAGAATATTTATTTTTTTGAAAATTATTTTATCATTTTGCAGTAAATCATTAATCATAATTTATATGATTTTAAGATACTTATAATCATAAATCATAATTATTTTATCAATTAATCATAATACATAATTTATAATTGCAATAATTCAAATTTTAAACTCAAATGTACTTTTCCATATTCCCAGGGACAGACCTTTTGAACCTTCATCATATATACATTCTCTTTAATTTGTATTTACAACACACACTTTGTACAACTGATCCATTGTATTCTAAATTTACAAAAAATAGATAGTGCATCTAAAAAAATATAAACAACAAATGAGAGGAATAAATATAAATAAATAAACCGTGAATGAAACATTGGAATTGAAATTCAAATATAAATAAATTAACCGTGAATGAAACATTGGAATTGGAATTCAAATATAAATAAAATTCAAATATAAATAAAATAAATTAATAAATCAAATAAATAAAAAATAGTGTAAACTTATGATAGATTGACATGTCAGAAAAATTAAATGTTTGAGTCGTTGATGTCTTTCACAGCTTCAATCGGTCGCGCCATTGATGTTACTATTTAGACCTGTTACAAAATCTGTATTAAAATGGACACAGAGAATCAAAATATGGGAATGAAGAAGAATTGGAAAATAATACGTAACCTTTTGAAAATAATGGAGAATGAAGAAGATTGAGGAGTGAAAGAGTAAGGGTTTAGAATGGCTATATATATAAAAGATTAAAGTTAAAATTTGATGACATTTGATGTAAGATTAAAGTTTTATATTAAATGTCAACCGTTAACATGAATAAATCAAATGGTCATTTATTTTTTAAAGAAATAGATAACTTTTTAAGAAAAAGAAATATCATATTTCTATTAATTTCTTTTATTTAATTTTATATGATAGTTTGATTCACTTTTATTATTTGTTGAGATTTAATATAAGATTTTTAAATTTATATATGATGTCAATGAATTATACTCATATATATATATATATATATATATATAAAGATGCATTGAACATGTTTCTTAAAATTTTTAATAAATTATTTTGAAAAAAGTATTTGTTTACTTAAAAAACATATAATATTGAATATTATATTTTAGTAAAATATTGGATAATCTTTTGAATTTTTTTATTTATAGTGGTTGGATATCTGTTTATTCAATGAATAGATTTAAATTGATGAAGCATGGTGTGTTTATCTATATATATTTCTCTGTAGCTAAATCAACAAATTAAATTTCTCCTTACTATACTAGTCATATTGAAATTTCTGTCAATATGGGCTAAGTTTTGTTTTCAAGCAGAAAATTAAAATCTAGAAACACAAAACTTTGCATTGTTTATTCAATTAAAAATGGTCTTTAGTTCGTCAATTTGTTGCCTCTTCCTATACATTTTTATAGTTGTCTCTTTTATTTCTCCTATTAATTCTTTAAAAATACAAAAACAAGAATCATTCAATCGAACTTTTCGAATAGAGCAAGAACTTCAAAAATTAAAGAAGACAATAGCTACACGTCTTCGACAAATCAACAAACCTGCAGTCAAGACAATTCAGGTATTTTAAAATAAATTTTTTAACACCATAAAATATTGTTGTGTTGGATGGATGATTTTTTCGATGTAATATAATTTAAGATTATAATTCAATTTTTTTTAAATGTAGCAAGCTACGGTTTTAAATTTTGCAAATGTTGCCACATCTTTTCAAAATAGAAATAATTACCTAATTTTTTCATAGGCTAAATAATAGTTTGATCCCAAAAAAATCTTTCTTTTTGTGTTTTTTTTTTTTTAAATTTCTCCGAATAATATTCCTCCAAATATTTTCTTTCAACAATTTTTGTGTGAACTATAAAAAGAAATAATTATGTAAAAATATTAATTCATCCTAACACTTTTTTTCTCACTTTTGCAGATTCCTAATGGTGATATCATAGATTGTGTTTTGACTCATAAACAACTAGCTTTTGATCATCCATTATTGAAAGGACAAAAACCAATGGTATATTCTTCATTTTGTTAATTTAAATAAGAATAAATTTGAAATTAATTTTTTTTAATTTAAGAAAGCAATACTTCAACCTTTATAAAAGGAATTTTTTTTTTTTGTATATTTTTATATACAGCATCATCCAGTAAATCTCACAGAGCAGAATCAAATTGGCAATATGAGTGACTTTCAATTGTGGAGCTTGTCTGGTGAATCATGTCCTGAAGGTACAATTCCGGTTAGAAGAGTAACAGAACAAGACATGTTAAGAGCTTACTCTATTGATAGCTTTGGAAGAAAACCTTCCAATCAGTACTTTCCCCATGAAGTATGCAATCACAGAAACTCAATTATTTCTCTCAATATCTTTCTTTTTCAATTTTTGTGTTTTTTTTTCTTATGGTGCATAAGAATTCAACAAAAAAGCTAAACAAAACCCAAAATTGGAAATAGGGAAAGTAAACATATGATATTTGACAATTAAATTTTGAATTTAATTAGTATATTCTCAGAGTGTGAAATTTTTTTACACTGTTAATGAATTACAACAGTTATGTCTATAAAATTATTTCACATGAATGGTTGTGATAAACTGAAAATATAAAACTCCTTTACACTATGCATAAAAATTAAAATCTTCAGTATTTTTTAATGTGTCCTTTTGAAATAAGGTTTTTGTTGGCTGATTGATCTTTTGGGTTTTCACCAAAGTAATAAAATATTTTCTTGTAATTGTTGAACAGTATGCAATTGTAAGAGTGGGCAATGAGGAGTTCTTTGGAGCTCAAGGTACCTTCAACGTCTGGCGTCCCTATGTGGAAAGACAGTATGAATTCAGCTTGTCTCAAATGTGGCTTGCCTCTGGTACATATGGAAAAGATCTCAACTCCATTGAAGCTGGTTGGCATGTTAGTTATTCTCATTATTTACTCCATTCATTCTTTTCATTTTTCTGCCTCTAAACATCTGGAAGAGCAATATCTCTATTTTTTTTATCATGACCAATATCTTTGCATTAATAATGCATTAAAATAACACAAAACCAACCAATGTAATTATTTGCAGGTCTACCCGCGATTCTACGGTGATGATCGCCCTAGATTTTTTATTATGTGGACGGTAAGAAAATTAATACAACTAACTGATAGATTTGTGAAAAACTTAAGATTACATATCAAACAAAATTTTGCAGGCTGATGCATATAAAAGCACCGGGTGCTACAATTTAGGGTGTCCAGGGTTTGTTCAAACAAACCAAAATTTTCTACTTGGTGCTGAATTTTCAAATTATTCTACATATAAAGGAAAACAATATCATATTACCTTAAAGATATTGAAGGTAATATCTACATTCTTCCAGTCTCACCAAACTAAAATAATTTACTCTAACTTTCATATGCTTCACCTCTTTTTAACTTTGATGTTTTTTGTTTGAAGGATAAAAACACTGGAAATTGGTTGCTTCAATATGGAGGAAATACAGTTGGGTACTGGCCAGCTCCCTTGTTCACACACTTGAAGTATGTTGCAGATGAAGTTCATTTTGGTGGAGAAATAGTGAATTTAAAAACAACAGGGTCTCATACTTACACTGTAATGGGTAGTGGACACTTTGCTGAAGAGGGGTTTGGAAAAGCTGCATATATTAGAAATCTGCATGTTATAGATTCTGATAACAACTTGACTCCGTTGGAAAATCCCACATATGAAGCGACAAATAAAAATTGTTATAATATACAAGGAAACACTAGTGGAAATCCAGTGTGGGGGGATTATATTTATTTTGGTGGACCGGGCAAGAGTGACAAATGTCCCTAAAAGAATATTGATTATGATAGAATAAGATCTATAAAGGTCAAATAATATGTAATAAGACTAGAAAATAAAAATACATTGCCTTTATTGGCACCTTACTCTTTAAATTTCGTCAAACATTTGTCATAATAATTATTACATTATTTTATCTTACAATATCTTTTTAATATACTACTTTTCTAATATACTAAAAGTGGTAGCCTTCACCTAAGTTAGTTATAGTTGGGATTTTTTTATGTCAGTTATGTTTATCCAGAATTACCCTAAACAACCTTAGTCTCTTTTACATCTATATAATATATTAAATTCAATACATTGAATATTACAAGAACACATCATTAATTATAACCAACACATCATCACTTATAAATCTAAAATTTGTCACACCATCTTATAATTCTATGTGATACATCTCAAATTTATTATCACTTTTAAAATATCAATTACAATACTTTTATAAATTGGAGGTCAGAGATTCAAACTCCCGAAAAGAAAAATAACATATTATTTTAAACTAATTGGTAATAACAAATTAATTATTTTTCCATTTATGTTTATTCCCTTAAATTAAAATTATTCTTTCTTATTTCAAAAATAAAAGACATGTGAAAATTCAAATCCAATAAAATATTTTTTGTTTTTCTTAAGTTATAGTAATATAAATAACATTTGAAATAAATGTTTTTAATTTTAAAGTAGTTCTTACATAATTTTAAAATATAAGTCACTTTAAACTTATTTAAAATATAATATATGGTGCAACAATCTTTTACGGTATCTTTATATTTTACTATTATATTTTTTATATCATATTAAATAATAAATTAATGACAAATAACAAAATATCATGCAAAAGAGATGAGAAATTTCAAACATAATGAAATGTTTTTTATTTTTCTTAAATATAATTATAGCAATAAAAATAATATTTGAAATAAATGTTTTTAAATTTAAAGTAGTTCTTACACAATTTGCAAAGATAAGTCATTCTTAGTTGATCTTAAAATATAAAATAATATGCAATAATCTTTTACCATATCTATATACTTTACTATTATATTTTTCATATAATACCAAATAATAAACTAAAGACAAACAACAATATTTATGATTTTTCGCATATGAGAATATAAATTTTTTTTACAATAGTTTACTTTTTTGTTTTATAATTGTGATCATAGAGAGTATAATAAAAACAACCATGATAATATCAAAAAAAAGTATACTCATCTCAATCGATATCAACGATGAAATCAATTTTAAAAAAAAATTAAAATAGTAAATTTAAAAAATAATTAAGTTAATATAGAAACTAACATTTTCAAAAAAATAATTAAGTTAATATAGAAACTAACATTTTCAACCCTTTATTCATTAGATAACTAATGTTCGACAAAATAGTCATAAATTTTACAAAGTTATTAAAAGTTTTATTTGTTAATAATTATAAATAAAATTTTAATTTTATTTAACAATAAAAATAAATACATATATTTAACAAACTAAAATAAAATATCTAAATAAAAGAGAAATGCAAAAACACATAACAATCGAAACAAAAAAACCATTTTATATATATTTAATTTTGTAAATCTAATTTATTGATATTACTCTCAATTTACAAACATGTATTTTTTTCAAATAAAATGTATCTTTTTTTAAATAATTAATTTATATCGTTGCCTCTATTATAATTCACACAAAAAAATTATAGTATAAATTTAATAATTATATTTTTTTAAAACAAACTCTTAATACATTTAAAGTTTAAAACAAAATAAACAAGATAATTTACATGGTTTGGATTTGGATTAAACAAGAAATGGGAAAATGCTTAAAGATGCATAATTGAAAACAAGATTAAATTGCTTTGAATTTAATACACTGGAACACATGCATACATTTTCAAAAGTCACTTGTTTCTCTCTTTGACATTGATATTTTGAGTTCTTCTAGTAATGTTACAAATGTGGACCTATAAACTTGAAAATGGATACAACTTATATAGTAATACTAGAATAAATGTTTACAACGTTGGACTATTTACAGCCTGTCACGTTGCCAACCCAAGCAAAATGCGTTTTGACAATCTTACACGTGTCTATGATAATTGATGGCAAAGAACTGCCTCACTTCTTCGACTTCGCCTCAATCATAAACTAACCATTAAACTCACTAAGTCTACAAATAACCCCCTTATGGTGAGACTTCGACTACGAGGGCAAAACTTTTTGGTCCATACTCTCGACAACAAAGTTGAACCATATCACTACCACAACCTCCACATTTCTTCGACTGTCATAATCCCTCTTACATTCATTACGCCAAAAATAAGATTAGACAACTGTTTTCCGTTGGTTTTGGTAAACAACCGCTGATCTTTCAAATGGTTACTTATTTGGTTACTCGCAGGATCGATCAGATTGATCCTAAGACATGGTTGATTTTGGGGTTTTGATTAAGTTTGACAATGGTTAAATGACAAGCAAATAAAGGAGCTTTATGTAAATTGCATGAAGAAGAGAACTTGATAAAATAAAAGAAGGCTAATAAAGGTTTTCGACAGGAAAGGTAAAGGAGAAAGCAAGTAAAATTTCTGGAAAATAAATGACTTTGATTAATAAAAGTGGTGTTTCACACATACATTCTCAACAATTCTTTCTCACACGCTGGGTACTCGAATCTATATGAGTGACTTGTATATAATTGTGAACACACGCGAAAAACTGCGTGAACTACTAATATTTATACTAAATCATCCCAAGTAACCGTCGGGCAGTTACACTGCTTCGAGATGACTCCACTTGGCACGTTCTCAGCGTTCGACGCTCCAGATCTTTGCACGTTGCACTTGGTAACGGCTGGAAACCGTTTTCCCTCCAAACGCTTGAATTTTAAACCGTTCCACTCTGAACAATCGAACACCTTCGTCGAGAGGCATCTTCGACGAGTCACACCTTCGACGTCGAAGGCAACCAAATTCTCCCTTGGAAGAAATCCTCTAAGTACATTGCCATCTTCTGATGGGCATTTCGACAGACCCAGCTGGTCGAAAACATCCTTCAGCTTTAATGGCTGATATTAATAAAAACAAGGGTGTCGAATTTAGGAGCCAACAAATTGCCCCCCAAGAATGCCTTATTTCGACTCTGAAAAAGAAAAAGGCATTCTTTGAAATTCCATTCGACACCTATCTTCTCACTCTTAGTCACAAATCAAATTGTGCACTTTTTGTCTTCTACCAACCACTGACAATCCCAAGAAAAAGCCATCATTTCATCCGTACCTAAGACGTCACCTCAGTACGGCGTGCAGCGTGCCAAATGTCTTTTCACAAATTGTCATCATGACAATTCCCAAAAACGAGGGCGCACGCTGCACCCTTTCATTTCTGCAGAACGGCTGTGTTAACAGGGGGACGCCACGTGTCCCACTATCCTCTGCAACATTAAATGGCATTAAATATCCTCGAATTTGGGGATTTCCTCAACTACTATAAATAGCGCCAAATACCCATTGTGGGACTTTTTCACGCTACCTTGCCTTCAAACTTCTTTGAACAAAAACTTTCTGCAAACTTTGCAAACAACTTTGTTCTTCACTTCATCTTAAACCTTAACATCAACAATGGCGTCCGGTTCTTCCACCGCTCCTAGTTCTAACATCCCCTCAGGAAATGCTAAACCCAAGATTTTCTCCACTGCTCCTGTAGTTTCTCCTACAGGCCAACGAAGGGTTCCTAAACCCCTAGACATTGCTGTACGTGACGCTTATTCACGCCAACTCATGATTCCGGTTGGATACTCCAACCAAATCTTCGCCATGTCTGGCCCGCTATACCCAAGCATCGTTGAAGCCATGAAGATCAAAAGCTACTTTCCAGTGCTCGAGAGGCTCAAACCTGTTGGATGCTCTAAGAAAGATGTCGAGGATAACGAAGATCCCACTAAGGAGAAAATCGATCTTCGCTTCCTCAATCGGGGTGTTAGGGCTTTCAGGTCTAGCCCTAGCCTCACTCCTGACTACAGTGCTTGGCTGGAAAAAATGGAGAAAAGCCAGGCTTCGATCTGGAAAGATCTGGGGATATTCGACCTGGTTATGTTGTCGAAAACGGGTCTCAACTATTCCCTAGAAATGTTGATAGCTTCCTTACTCTTTTGGGATTACACCCATTTCACCTTCCACCTTCCCTGCGGAATGCTGACACCCACGTTGTTCGACGTGGCTGCCATCACTGGCCTTCGACCCACTGGGGACTATTTCGACCCAGAGGAAATGTCGGAGGATCAGATTGGATTCTCAGCCACAAAACCAACCTACACCACCTATATCAATCATTATCACGATAAGTCGACGGCCACTGTGTCGGATGTAGAGCATATCGCGTTTCTAGCCTTATGGCTGTCACGCTTTGTGTTCTGCACAAAGTCTTTACAGGTGACCAAGAAGATGGTTACCCTCGCCACCCAACTCCACCATGGCCAAAATATCTGTTTGGCAGAATTGATTTTGGCGAACCTGTACGAGTCGATTAGCAACGGAGCCACTCTTTTGAAGATCATCGATAACAGAGCCAGTCTGCTGCTTGCAGGACCTTTTTGGCTACTTCAGCTGTGGCTCAATGCCACCTTCGAGTCTTTCTTACCTCAGAAGACTCAAATAAATGAGCAGGCTCCGGAGATAGCAAATAGGTGCATCGAAGGCACCAGATTGGCTCTGCTGACCCCAACTGAAGATGGGCTGGAGCTTCAACAAACTTTTACAAACTTCGTCTTGATGTTTGCAAAAAGGAAAGAGTTTGTTTCGACCATGGCTCCCTTTGCTCGACGAAAGGTTGGTCCAGAGTGGTTCACGAGGCCCCATCCTAAATCGTCAAGTGGCCCTCAGGTCAAAGAACATACAACAGTGTGGGAAGCATTTCTCACACCAAGGATAATGCCCCTGCGATTCAAGAGCTCCAAGACTCACTTGAGCCTGATCGCATATCAACCAAACTTGGTTTC